GATATCTCTCCAAAGTTGAGACACTCATCGACAATATCATTGCGGCCGGTGGACACCTAGATCAAGAAGATATTATCCTCTAAACACTCAACAGACTTCCTGGAACCTATCAAAGTGTCAAGGCAGCTATTCGTACCCAACTACATGCGTTTGTTCTAGATGACTTTCTCTCTCTTTTTTGTAGTGAAGAGATCAACATCACAAGTGATAATAAGAAATTAGACCAGAGTTCTAAACCTACAATTTCTTGTTAGGTTGTTTCCTCCTGCACGATGCCGTGGAAGAACTCATAACAATGCCAGTTCTAGAGGTGGTCAAAGCACATCAAAACCTCAAGTTACTTGCCAAATCTGCAGGAAGTTTGGTCACTTGACAGCCACATGTTGGCATCTGTCCAATCTCAAGTACATTCCTCTCATACAAGCCTTGCAAACGACAACCTCCAATTGGATCTTGCACTCGAGTTCTACAACACATCTTTCAAATTTTAATCATTTACTACTGGCTACTAAGGTGACAAGAGCCGAACGGGTAACCGTGGGTACCGACCAATCCGTAGCAATGGCACCGTAAGCTCCTTCTACTTCACGTATGACATGTTCTATTTCTTTCTTATAATCTCTTATATGTTCATAAATTGATCCATGACAATAATGGTGCTGTCTTTTTTGACCAAAACGGCTTTACTATCATTGATTCAAAGACAAAGCAACTTCTAATCCGGGGAACCAATTCGGACGGCTTATACCCGATCTCCACTTCCACACCCAACCCTTGCCTCTTGCCACCTACACTCAACAGTCGAGTCTCAGGCACAAATGCCTTGGACTTCCACATCCGGATGCTTTCAAGCTACTCTCCAAGATCCAACCTAGTTTAGATATAACCATACATCCTTTTATATGTAATAATTGCAATTGCAGCAAAGGTCATAGACAACCCTTTATGTTTCCTGATTTACATAGATATGCTCCTTCACGTTTAATACACTCCAATGTATGAGGTGCATCCCCAATGTCATCTACTCAAGGTTATAAATACTGTTTAATTCTCCTTGATGATTTCTTGCGTTTCTGTTTGGTGTTCCTTATGATGAGTAAAGCTGAAATGGCTTACAAATGTATTCAATTCATTAAAATGATTCATACTCAATTCAATATAACCATCCACATACTCCGATTTGATGGGTGGGGGGATATAAGAGTGCCTTCCTTCAAAAATTTCTCTAACATAATGGCATCCTTCACCAAGTCTTGCCCCCATACTCCAGAACAAAATAGGGTTGTGGAACGCAAACACCGACATCTTTTCAAAGCCACATGAATTTAACTCCACGACACCTCTCTTCGTTTACACTTCTGGATGGAAACCGTCCTTGCGGTAGCTTACCTTATCAACCGAGTCCCCTCTAAAACCACCCAACTCCAAACCCCTTATGTACTCCTCTACAAAACTCAACCCGCCTACTCCAGTCTCAAGGTTTTTGGATGCCTCTACTACCCATGGTTATGCCTCAACTCCAAACCCCTTATGCACTCCTCTACAAAACTCAACCTGTCGAGTCCAGTCCCAAGGTTTTTGGATGCCTCTACTTCCCATTGTTATGACCTTATACATCACATAAACACCTTATACATCACATAAACTGGTCTCAACTCTATATTTTTCTTGACTATTCTTCAAACCATAAGAGATTCAACTATTACCAACCCAATTCCAGGAAGCTATACATTTCTCACCATGTTACATTTGATAAAAATACTTTCCCATATCATTCTTCCTTCGCTAAGTCCACACCCTTCTCTCGGCACATCTCTCCCCTCCAACGAGCAGCCCTGCATACCTCCAGCGCTCCACTGTTGCAGCCATCAAATCACGTACAAGGCACAACACCCTTCCTCTCTGCTACCCGAAGTGCCACACTCCGACAGCCTCCTATCGAGATCCACTCCCCTCGATTGTAATTTTGCGGTTGCTCTTTCCTTACCCCTCTTCCCACTTTCTGTGAGACCCCATAGACCCTATCTGCTCACACTACAATATCTCCACTTGCTCGTAGTTCTACCCACCCACAACCCCTCTTCTCTTTCATTTCTCCCTCCTTTCTCCTACTGCCCAAATCCATGCTATCCCAAACTCCCCAACCTGCAGAACAGTCGGCTCCAGCCTTCTCTCTATTCCTTGAGCTTCCCTTTGAGATGCTACAAGCCATCTCCTTCTCTCCCGTTTCTTTTTATTCCAACATCGAGCAGCTTCATCGCTTCTTCCACCTACCCGAGAAGCCCTACATCTCACTTCCACCTACAACTTTTCTTCTTAACCTCCTCCACCGCCTTACCTCTGCAAACTCCTCAACTGAACTACAATCTCATGTCATATTTCCGGCCACCAAATAACCCTTTGTTCAACCTCCCCATAATCCGTTGCCGTCTCTCTTCAACCTCGATTTCAGATTAAGGTAAATATCGGAGAAATAGCTTTTGGTTCTATCTAGCAAAAGATGGGAATAAAGTTATTAGGATTTAGTAAATCCCGTAAATCTGAGATTTACTAAAACTTGAATGGAATACTAAAAATTGTATGGCAATGGATTTATTAAATCTGAAAAATCTATTGAAACTATTTGCAAAGTTTTGCGTACATCCAGGTAAATCCCAATAACTCTTTCATCAAATCCCATAAATCCCATAAATCCAACAATTCATGGGATATAGTAAATCCAGGATTTATGGCTGAAATTTGTGAAATCCTAATTTATCAAATCCACAGTTTTATTTTGTTTAAAATGGTCTTCTCGCAAGATTTAGCCTACATCCAACTTAAATATGGGGCTAAATCCGTTGCTAGACAACCTCTTAAAGTTTCTGTGGGATTGAAAATTGTCGTTTTGCTTTTATGAGAAGTCTGATATTACGATTTTATGGGATTTAAAGTTATTTTTTAGGTTGTTTAGTAGGGTTATTGTTTGATTTCTACCAACAGATGCGGGAGAAGCAAGCAGGGGTGTAAACGAGCCGAACACGAGGCTCAACAGATGCGGGAGAAGCAAGTAGGGGTGTAAACGAGGGCGGCACGCTTATAAATCTTCATAGCGTTGTAGTCATTTAAATTTTTTAAAAATACTACTCATCAAATATATATATACATATATATATGATGAATAGTATATTGAGCCAAAACGAGCCAAACATGAGTTGTTCATGAACAATGAGACCATTTTGACAGCCCTAGAAGCAAGTTTGTGCATGATTTAATCTCAAAGCCCTGGATTTGTAGTTGGCAGAGAAATCAAGTGTTAATTTTATGAAATTTGGGTTAATTGTTATGAGAATTAATACAAGTACATCGGAATCATCTCCTCGCTAATAAGGTAAACACACTATACAATCAGGTATTTCTTCGGGTTTTTCCAACCCTACAAAGAAATTCTATTTGAAGTACCCATTCAAGTTGTTCTCGCCTGACTAGGAAATTTTGCTATAAGTACCTTTTCTTGTCATTCCAACAGGGCGGAGAAAGCATGTTACAAGCACCCATTCGGGTTGTTCTAGCCCATAAGGGAAATCTTATCGTATTATTTTGCAGGTATCAAAGTCCTACGCAAATCTTGTTAGGTGCACTGGATAAATCTAAATGTTGGTTGCAATATCTTACGACACTAGCTACACACATTTTGTTAGGTATGGTGGTTAGACCCAATGATGTCTTTTAACATGTATAATTTCCTTTAAATTTAGCACATGTTTTTAAATGAAATTGCACTTTAAAAAAAGATATTTTTATGTTTTTCTTGCAGGTATAACATGTAGGAGAATTGGAGCGAACTGGAGCGAAAACAAAGCGAAACAAAACAAATGGAGCAATGGATGCTTGGGTCTGAACTGGCGCTAGCTTTTGACACCCAGCTTTTGGTGCTTAGGCGTTGGACTCCGTAGAATTTCCAGAGAAGTTGGCGGCCTAGTCACCGGCTATTTTTCCAAGCCAACCAAGAAGATGGCGCCTAGGCGCCACAGTTGGGTGCCTAGGCGCCACAGTTGGGTGCCTAGGCGCCATAATTGTCTGAAGTGTTCTGGGAGTTATTTAGTGGTTCAGGACGATAGAAAAATTGGATTTTTGCCATTTGGGGACTTGGGGACGAAGTTCCAAGGTGGGGAACTCTCCAAGGACTTCAGGAAATCCATATTAGGAGTAGGATACCACTAATTTAGAGAGATTTGTAAGGGAATTTGAGAGCATTTGTAAGAGATTGTATCCAACAATTGCAATTAATTGCAAGGAACAGTAGGGAACTTCAATAGAAGGATTTCATAGAGATTAAAGTCAAGTATTGTATGTTTTGATTGCATTGTAATCTAGTAAACAGGTATTTAGTGAATTTATTTTGCTAAGTACAGTTTGTTCGATTGTCTTGCTATCCTTTAAATCACATATTTAGTTTGATCACTTTGTTTCACGAAGTTTTATATTGATTTTAACTTCTATTGTGAGTAGAAATCCCGTGCTTTTCTTTTGTGATGATTTGATAGTAAGTGTATGGTGTAGAAGTTTAAGAATAAATATTAATTTTATATGTGATTAATGTTCTCCTGGACTTTATTTACATATCGTATCGGCCATAAGATTTGTTAAAACTTTTTGTGACTCATTATGATTAGGAAGAGCCGTGATGAATCAACATGAAAATGTTCACATCGTCATTTAACTATGAAACATACTTGTTAGGTGGTAGTGCAAAGTTAGGGAGATAAGTATTTTGGGAGGTTCAGATTAGAACTTTTTGGGTGACAGGTGGGGCATACAATTATGGGGAGCATATATATGGCACCAACTGACACCTTTGCCAAAAGCAAATAACTAATTATTAAACTAATCTTATCTTATAACTCAGGAGATGATAGATAGACATATGCTCCTTTTGTCACTACTTTATTCATATTTAAAAACTTCTAACCTATAACCTACTTAATTATTTACAAAAGAAAATTGCTTTTTATCACTTTTGAATTTAACCTTATTAATTGCTCTAGATAAGTTTTATCGTAGGATTAAAATAGTAATTTAGTAGTTATAGTAAAATCACATTTATCGAAACTCCAAACTAGGACCTTATAGTAGTGTAGACTAGAACTTCTCTTAAAGTGATTGTCTACCTCTGTTCCATGTGGGTTCGATACTTGAGACTAAAAAAAAGTCATATATTACTTGAACGATACGTTAACACTTAGTGTGAAGTGATTTGACTTGAATGATTAAGTTATTAAATTTATAAAATATATTTTAAAAATTATAATATTTAAATCCTAAATCACTAGTTGTACCGTAGAGAAAGTAGCAATCAAGTTTTTATGTGCCCTTGCGGGGAATCGCTTGGTAGAACTTTTCGGGAGAATTTTAGTTGAATCTGTAAGACTTAGATTTGTAAATTGTAATGTTTATATAGAGTAATTAGTATATTGTGTGTTTTTATTTTTAAAAAGAAAGGCTAAAATGCAAAAAAAAAAAAAAAAGCGTAGAAATCTATCCTATTATTCAAATCTTTAGTATTAAATACGTAGTTAAGGAGCTGCAG